AAGAAAAGAAGTTATTATGTTGACACCCTTGCCGGGCTATTGTTGATTTATTGGTTATCTCCCTTGCCGGGGTATTGATATTTGTTGAATTGTTGTTCCCTTGCCAGGATTTATTTGTTGAATTGTTGCTCCCTTGTCGGGATCTTTACTACAATTTCATTTAATCCCTTGCCCTATTGTTCGTGATTGTTGTTTGGGTGAGGAAGAGCGTTAAAGCACAAAGGGTGATGCCGTGCATTGTTTGTTTTGTGAGGGAAGAGTATAAAGCACGAAGGGTGATGCCGTGTATTGTTGTGAGGAAAGAGTGTAAAGCACAAAGGGTGATGTCGTGCCGCACCATGTATCATTCAGTGCCGATATTATTGATTATCTGGTGAGGAAAGAGATTAAAAGCACGAAGGGTGATGTCGTGCACGTTTTTATTATATGATTGCCTTGGTGAGGACGAGAGTAAAAGCACGAAGGGTGATGCCGTGCATTTATTGATTTCTGATCCTTTGTTAATATCCAAGTTATGTTGTTTCTTTCGTTTATTTGATGTCTTTCTAATCGGATTTGTTATCTCCCCCACAACATGCTCCCCCTCCCATTTTGACTGGTTGTTCCTGTATTTCTTTTCCGATGTACATATATTTGAACTGCACAGGTTTATGTGGTAGTCTGGTCTAGCCTCGTCACTACCTCGCCGAGGTTAGGCTAGGCACTTACCAGCACATGGGGTCCGTTGTGCTGATGCTATACTCTGCACTCTTTTGTGCAAATTCCAGTGCTGTTGACTTTGGACCGTAGTTTGGAGGCCACCTTCAGTCCACGCGGAGATCCAAGGTAGACCTGCAGGCGTCCGCAGGCCCTGGCGTCTCCTCTATCCTTATTTCCTGTTTCATTTTCCTTATATTCATAAACAGTGTATTGATAATTTCTTTCAGGCCCTTTATTTGTAGTAGTCTTAGATCGTCTGTGAAACTGTGACACCAGTTCTGGGTAGTCGAGACTCAAACAGTTGTATTAGATATTTATGTTCAGATAGCTTATTGCTTCTTTCTTCCGCTTATGTTTAAATTTCGCTGTTTAAATGTTATTATTCGAAGTTGTTAATGAATATAAAATAAGTAAAAAGGTAAATTGTGCAATTAATTGACTTGCCTAGCTCGTATTAGTAGGCGCCATCACGACTCCCAAGGGTGGGAATCCGGGTCGTGACATTAAAACATCCCGACATGGTTGACACTTGACACAATTAAATTACTTTCACAACTTACAATTATCTAAAATCATTTACATACTTAAATTGAAAAGTTTATGAGATATTTTCACTACCAATGTAACTTTGCAATCACTACATTCATACTTGCTCCTATGGATGTACCAAATGAACCGGAAAATTGCACCAAATTAAAAAGTCAAACCAAACCGATTAAAAAATCGGACTAGGTTTGGTTTGATTTGGTTTGGTATTGAGTAAAAGAATCCGAACCAAACCGACATATAAATATATAATTTTTATATATATTTTTAAGATTTTATAATAGAATTTTCTTTAAAAAATATCTTGAAATATTTGGGATTATCTTGCGAGATATAATATTTAATAGTATATGAAGTTGTCCATATTTATTAACTTTAAATAATGGGTTTTCTGATCACTTTCTCATCAAGTATTACTGAAATGCGTCAATCTCTTTGTTCTTCCATATTCATATTATATGTTAAGATCTACTAAATTATTATATCTTTTTCGAATGTGAAGTGATTATTATTATTATTTAGGTATCATATTAATTTTTATGTTTAATTACTAAATTCGGTTAACCTTGAAAGTGTACATCAACGAAACATTATTGTCAGACGACTAAAAAAAATAACTATTATGCGTTACTCATAAAAAAAAATTTAATATATAATATGTTTGTCAATTTTTTATATTTCTACTAAACATATATTTACTTATAAAAATTTTAACAAAGTAAGATTAAAATAATATTTAAGTAACAAAAAATCCGAAAAATCCGACAAAACCGAACCAATCCAAATCGATATAGCTGGTTTGGTTCAATTTTGATAAAAAAAACCGAACCAACCGGTCCATGTACACCATGGAATGCTTCCACTACCATTAAATGTGTCCATAAGTCAAGTTAACATCTTAAGCTCCAATCTCCATACCAACCATAAGTTTACATATAAATACTCAGAAGGGAGAATAATTGGTAATTAAAAAAAGAAGATAAAGAGACACAAGTTTCTAGTTGCAAAATTTCAATGCCAATTGTCCATAAACCAAAAAGTAATATAAATTGAGAGAAAAAGAGCCCACATTTGCGTAATATGGGGTTCAACTTGTTTTAAGATCATAATATAATGGGGTTAGAAGCGGATAATTGTATATGGGCCACTCACTATTTTTGACTGTTTTTTCCCAACTATACTATATTATAAATTTATTTATTCCACGCTTGAATCTATTCCACCGCAAACTATCGAATATACTACTGCAAGATCATCCGGCTTTTGTTGTTATTGCTCTCACTTGTCACTACGCCACCTCAGCAGTTGGGACCCCCTAACCTTTTCTATCTATATTGAAACCTGTTAATCCATTAAAAACTCTATTGACGCCCATAAAAAAGTTTTGAATCTTTGAATTTGAAAATCGGATTTTGCAAAAGTATTATTTATTTGGATTGGGTGTTGTTGCAAATAATTGATAATATCCTTTGGAGTTTATATCTCAATTTTAAATAGAAACTCGAAAAAGAAAACATAAATAAATTGTATATATATTTTACATGCCGGGTGTACAAACGACGTAGAAAATATATACAACTAACACAATTATATACAAGTTGTATGTAAGTTCTAGCTTTTTTCCCAATTCTGTACAACAAAATTACATTTAAGTTGTATATAATTGTAGTTTTTGACAGAATTTGTATACATTTTAAAAACTATAGCTATTTTTTGTAAATGAAAAAACCTAGTTAAAACCGAGTAAATAAGTTTATAATTTCATATATATATAAAAAAAAAAAAAAAAAAAACCTTTTTTTTCATGAGTCTCTTGTCAAAGTGGGACAAATGGTTGCACGGTTGATGTACCCAGCCCATATGTTATAGACCAACCTAAAAACGTTAGAGAATCTGACGGCGTCAATGAGGGCTGCATTTTAAGATGCTACGCTACGCGGTGCGTTTGTGGATGGAGCCACCGGGCCATATGGCTCAGAAGCGCCACAAAAGGATGTTGAGTTTTTTTTTATTGACATAGACAGGATGGTGGAGCGGACGAAAATGGGCCGGTGCAGAGCATGTGAAAAGGAAGACGCGACAATGATGTCATAACCTTTGACAAAATATGGTGATAAGGCTATGACATCGCCCTCGCATCTCCCCTTTTACAAGCTTGCATAGTCCCCCTTTCATCGGCTCCATCACCATGTGCGGGTTAACAAAAGAAGACTCAGTATCCTTCTGCAGCGTAGCCTAGTGTTTTTATCCACGAACGCCCCACGCAGCGTAGCCTCTCTTACAATGCAGCTCTTATTGACATCATCATTTGCTCCAATATCTTCACTTTAGTCTAATCAAGAATAAAACTCAAAGGGCAGCATCGTTGCACTAAGCTCCCGTTATGCACGGGGTCCGGAGAAAGGTCGGACCACAAGAGTCTATCGTACGCAGCCTTACCCTACATTTCTGCAAGAGGCTGTTTCCACGGCTCGAACCCGTGACCTCCTGGTCACATGGCAGCAACTTTACCATTTACGCCAAGGATAAAACTCAAAGGTTCAATAGAAATGAACTCGCAGCTTTTCCTTATTACAAATTTTGCCTCACCTTCTCCGACTTGCTTCTAATATACAGGAAAGAACGCCTATATATATATANATAGTGAAACCAATTCGATAGTAATTTATCGGATTTTCTTTTAATACTGGCATGAAGATAGAAATCTTGTTATGAATTTTCTACTTATGGGAAGGGAGAAAGCAGAATATATATATATATATATATTCTGCTTTCTCCCTTCCCATAAGTAGAAAATTCATAACAAGATTTCTATCTTCATGCCAGTATTAAAAGAAAATCCGATAAATTACTATCGAATTGGTTTCACTATCATAAATGCAGAAGATTCAATTTATCTCATTAAAGGCACACAGATTCACCTTTTCATCATGATGCAAATCTTAACTATTCTAGAAAATATATAAAAATTAGATAAGATATATTGCATAGCACTTCTCACTTATAGTGTTTCTAATGTGAAAATTAATCTTTATCTTGTAATAGAAGCTAAAATATTAGCAATTCAACATTTTAAATAGTACAATTCCTCCATTATTTGAATTCTAATAGTAGTAAACAATTTGAGTAAATTACACTAGCATCCCTCCTTAGAGGCTAATAATATTTGAAAACGATGTTGACTTGATCAATTCTAAAACTTTTTGTTATTATCAATCGTTAAATCATTCAAATAACAGTGAACTAATTTTTTCTTTCAATTAAATTGTGACCTGTGAGATAATTCAATCAGTTGATTATCCATTTTTATTGAAGTCATATATATATATATATATATATATGAGCCTTGAAAGACAATATGAATGAGGGGAAAAAAAACACTTACCTTGAACGCCGGTTTCTTTGCATCCTTAACAAGAATTCTGGAAAAGAGATAATGAGCCATATATTTTAGTTTCTATTTGTAAAATAAACAATATATACGTATTAAAAAGAAGCAAAATTTTCTGTATATTCTAGTTTGGACAAAAGTTCTAGTATTTTGCTTATGAACCAATATATACATATTGTTACACCCCAAACCCTTTGGGGTGCAGCCTTTCCCCGGACCATGCGTGAACGTGAAATGCTTTGTCCAACAAGGCTGTCTTTGGACCAACTTACATGCACCTCGACCAGCTTCACACATTTTTTATTTGAATTAAAGGATGGCTTGATAGAATAACATTTCTTACTAACAACAATAAGGACCACGCTTACAAGAAAGGTCAAAGTAAATTGAAAGTCAGATAGGAAATTCGTCTAACAATGACAAATGTGGAAAGAGGAAATTTCAGTTACAATAGAAGGATCATATGACAAAACTTCAATTAAAATACTTCCATATAAAGAACGGAGCCACTGGAACTAATCCTAAAAAAAAGAAGAAAAACATATATGCCTTATCTGCATTTCTTTACCAACCGCAAAAATACATTACTGTAAATCTCAGAAAAACATCAAAATTTCATGGCTTTGGTGGCAACAACAAAACCATAATGCTAATTCATATGATATCTGTAAATCTTCAAAACTTTATATGGTCAGGCGTAGAAGAATTTCACATCGGTGATCGTCCATTACCAAGCATCTGGCCGATAAGGTTTGTCACCTGAAAATAAAAATAAAAATTGACTCGAATATTTGACAAGTATAGATGTACCAAAGCTATCAACATTTTCAGTATAAAATTACCAGAAGACATCTGATACATGGTTGGAAGTACTAAACAGTATACTAGTTAAAAGAAAGAAAACGGATAACAAAAACGGATAACAATGTATGCTGAAGTTATATTCAACTCAAGAACCCCGTTAATGTAGCATAGAGTTTGAGAAGCATGCATGTGGCAACTGGCATGAATTTACCACAAGCTGAAGAATCACCAAAAACATAAGAGTAACACCTATATGATTTGTTTGACAATTACTCTGCGTCCAATTACACAACATAATTCATCTTTCAAGCAGCAACAAATTAGCAACTAAAAAGAGGTGTGACTTATAAATAGCTGTCCACTACGTTCAGATTTGAACTTTGATTTGGTTCAAATTAGGGCTCTTTAACCAAGAATATATGACCAATACCTGCATCAACTACCATATAGCATCGACATGCCTATAGATCCCGAATCACATATCCCAACAGAGCCAAATGATGTTGTCACTTTTTTGTGTTTGGATGTAGTGTGATTTATATTGTTTGCAGTAATAAGTTAGTATTTTTACCAAGTTCTCTTATGCTTTTTGATAGATTTATGCCCCATTTACTGTGATTAATTGACTAACTATGGTTTGATGTGAGAGCTTAAAGAATGGAATAGCATCAAACAATTGCATAAAATTGAGCAAAGAAGGCCAAATCTGAAGAAGGAACTGAAGGAGCAAAAATTCAGCCTGCGTGGCCAAGTGTTTCAGGTCTTCATAAAAAATTAAAAATAAAGGAGTTGTGAAATGAAGGGGTGATAAAGTTTGAAAAATAAGCAAAGGGTGAAAATTGTGAAAAGGAAAGAACCTGAGTGTTGAATTGTGTAGTGCTTAGTAAGATCGTGGTCACCTACTACCAACATTTCTATCTTACCCCCTATTCAAAAGCCTACATTGTATTCCCTCAAGTCCTAAATAATTCCAAACTAAGTGCACCTACATTCGAGGAGATTTCTACCAAATACTTTAGCTGCTTATTATCATTTTATCACTTTTATTCAACCACGTAACTGATTATCTAATAAATCAACTTCAGCACTAAAAGTGTTTTTCACCACCTAATGCTTATCAACTACTTTAAATTAGCTAAGCCAAACATGCTCTTAAGATCCTTATTGACTACTCTCCAATAATATAATTATATATACATAGAAATAGATAGATATAGATACAGATTTGACATAAGCTCCTTTTAAAATTTTAGTTTCATATTCAACTACTTTGGGCCAATGACATTATTATTTGCACCGAAGCACGATTAAACACTAATTATTGTTATCTAGTCAAAGATTATTTTCCCAAAATATCGAAAAATATACATCAACTAAATCTTTATATTCACAAGAGACGAATAATTCCTCATAAAATTAGCGCAATAGGATATATAGATTATAGGAAATCGATTATTTGCTTGTGAACCGCATCTTGATTTAGGCATCACATAGGCCAATTTGGACATCTTCACGGATCAACTTGGGCTACTCTTTTCTGATGGGTTATTTTAGGCATAGCCCAAATCATCCCATCACCAAAATACATTTTATCCAACCCATCAAATTTCGGGGCGGGTTATAGACTTTTGGCCAAATTTGCAATCCCAAGATTTAAAAAGAAACCCTTCCAAAATAATGAAACGACATCCTCTAACTCCCTATTAGCCCAAGCATCATCATCTCAATTTAGGAGTGGCAAAATTGACCCAATAATATGAAGCTCACCCAACCTGCCAAAGATTTAGCCGCACGGACAAAATGTGTTTTATTGGTCTACTTATTTGGGCTATGCCCAGAGTAATCCATTAGAAAATAGTAGCTGAATTAGCCGTGCATGTCTGATACTGACCCGTGCCCTAACTTCAGCCTTGGGCTAGGCATTAGTAGGTAAATAGTCCCTCAACTCATGCCTAATCCGATAATAAAACGAGGTCAACCCTTGCTCTTCAGTTCTATTCCTAATCTATACCCGTATATGCTTTATAAACCCACACAGTTGCCAATTGAAATCTTCCAAAAGTCATATTCCAGTTTTCTTTCTACCTTTTGTTCATTATTATTTTCAAGTTATTTACGAATATGAAAAATTGTTTTCAATTCTCTTTCTTGAAGGATAAGTGTACCCCGCGTATTAGTTTCCTGGAAGTGATTTTATCTAAGCTTGTTTGTTGACACTAGTAAAGCCACATCCTAAATGTTAAGTGATGGCAGTAACTAATAAGAGCTAATTTAATATGTTTGTAACATTTTTAAAAATTATTTTTACAATTTTTAAAAAGTTTTGAAGTCTCAACATTATTGGTGAGACTATTATTTTCACAATGTTAATTCAGTTATGTGCTAAAATTAAATACATCAATTAAGTGCGACGGAAATTATAAAAAATGTTATATAAATAAGAGAAATAGGTATGAAAAAAAAATGAATCTCTGCTATTGATTTTACTAACAAGACTGGTTGAGGGCAGGTTGAGAATCTTAATTGATGCCTCAAAAAAGAATGAACAAAAAGGTCAAATTGTGCCCAACTCATTTAGATCAAAATAAACTTCTGGCAGGTTGGGCCATGATCTACTTGTTGACTCAGCCCATTTTGACCTGCACAATATCGAAATAAACTGCCTTCCAATTGCCACCCCTAAGTCTTAAGTAACTAGTCTGGAACCCACTAAACTATTCAATTACCTGTTTTTAAATTTCTTCTACCAACTAGCTTTCATTAAAAGAAAAAATAAAAATCTTTTTACTACAAACTAGAGTCCAGCTATTTTACTTAACTTCGAAGACATAGTACCCTTTGCCATGCAATATGTACTCCCAAGTCTTAATCAGTTTTCATGGACTAAAATGAATGTACTAGCAGCCTGTTTGGTCGAGCTTCTTTTTGGCCAGAAATACTTTTTTCCAAAGTTGAAGCGTTTGGTCAAGCTTTTAGAAAGAAGTTAGTGCTTTTGAGTAGAAGCAGAAGCAGTTTCTGAGAAGCAGAAAAAAGTAGTTTCTGTCCAAAAATACTATTGACAAAACTACTCTTAGACGCACTTTTTAAAAGCTTGGACAAATACTAATTGCTACTCAAAAGTGCTTTTCAAGTTGATTAGCCAAACACAAACTGCTTCTCACTTTGAAAAGCACTTTTGAGAAAAGAACTTTTCAATATAAGTTGATTTTAGAAGCACGACCAAACACACTATATATTACTATCTTAAACTAGCATGAGTATTACAAGGCCCACCCTAGACTTTATAGAATGGAACTTTACCTAAATCCATTGTATACTGACTAAAGTACTCTTTGAGGCTATCCACCCTATCCCTTTCCCGAAGCTTTGGTGACCCCATCCAGTAACCTTTACGGCTAAACCCCAACCCCCATGCTGAAAAGGTAAGAAGTACCATTCAGTACGAGGCTTTGTTCTGACTAAAAATTAATACTTGTTTGCTTTAGTCCACATCGACAAGACAGCCCGGAAAAAAATTAGTTTATAAATTGGCTTTCTTTTTTATAAGGTTAGTATGTGAACTATCCAAACCTAGAAACTGATAGAGGTCCTGGAAAAGTGCATGACGCACAAAATGTAAGGAAGAAAATGGTCATAGTTTCCACTGCTTTTTGAGTGAAAAGGTTGCTACAACAAACAACAACACCAAACCCAGTGAAATCCCATACGTGGGGTGTAGGGAGGTAATGTGTACGCAGACCTTACCCCTTCCTTAGGAAAAAGAGAGGTTTCCGATAGACCCTCGGCTCAAGAACAATGAAAAGGACAATACTACGGGTGTGTTTGGTACGAAGGAAAATGTTTTCCATGGAAAATGTTTTCCTAGAAAATAATTTCATGGAAAATGAGTGATTTTATAACTTATTTTCCCTTGTTTGGTTAGTGAGTGGAAAACTTTTTCCGGAAAATAATTTAGTGTTTGGTTAGAGAGTAGAAAATAAAGTACTTATTTTGTTGAAATGAAAGAAAACACTTTTTCTACGTCATAAAAAAAAAAATTTTTTGTTGAAATGAAAGAAAATACTTTTTATTATATCAATTTGTTGAAAGGAAAGAAAATACTTTTTTACATCATGAAAAAAAAAAGTACTTTTTTTGTTAAAATGAAAAAAAATCACTTTTCTATATCATGAAAAGAAAAATACTCTAATGACAACAAAAAAAAGTACTCTATCTATAACATGAAAAGAAAGTATCATTAATAATATTTCTATTTAGGATGGGGGGTTGATGGGCAGGGTGGGGTGGATGGGTGGTAGGGTGGGGGTGGGTTGGTAGGGGGTGGGGTGGTGGGGATGGGAAATAGGGCAGGGAAGGTTAAAAAAGAGTTTTGGAAAATGTTTTCCCTTCTCTTGATAGGGAAAACATTTTCCTCCAATTCATGAGGAAAATGTTTTCCATAACATTTAAGCCAACCAAACATGGGAAAATTGGAAAACATTTTTCGGAAAATTTTTTCCTTCGTACCAAACACACCCCACATTAAAGTTCATTTAACTGCAATCAGATCACTTATCATCCCACCAAAAGGAAACAAAAAAAGTATTAGAATGAAATCATTGTATCATTTACCTGCCAATATTTTGATACACAACGATCAATGCAGCTATTTTCGCCAATATTTAGCTCAGGGTCCTTGTACCTTCTATCGACACATTTGTTGAAGCATGTCTGAGTGAGCCTAGATCACAACAATAAACATCAATGTATGGAAATTCAGAAATTTTGTACACATGCCTTCAATGGAAGTAACTAGGAAACAATACTGGAGCTGAATCATATGGATAATCACCAAATCTTTTAATTTTTTTACTTAAGATTTCTTTTGTGCTATTAGGTTGACTTATGATTGAAACAGTTACAATCTGGAGCACCTTACTTGTTAAATGATTCAACCCTGTACTCCATCTCCTTCTCGGCCATGCCAAAAATCTGCATACACAAGGAAAGAGGTGAGGGGGTGTAAGAACCAGAAACATTTTAGCTTGAAAAGTTCTGCATTCAACATCTCACATAGAATGAAAATATTTTGAAATTTGGAAGCTGGAATTACTAACAAATGTATGAAAATTACACAGAAAGAATTTTTCCTTACAGATAAACAAAGACTAAATGATAAACACATAACAAAAGTAAAGAACCTGCTCCTTGTCAACTGTTGTTGGTAGATTATTAGCAGCCATCTTTACGAACCTGTGAGACAAAAAGCAACACTTACATCAGAAAGTCTAATTATAAGTCTGAACCCAATGAAAAAAAAAGGGAACATACGGCAAAATATGCTAAAAGAACTTTAGCAGTATAGCCAAACAAAAATCGAGGAATGTGAGGACGTTTTCCAATCACAATACCCCTTATGTCCTGGGCAATGAATTTACTGTATGTTTAGAAATCACTACTGCACCCACTGCCTTCAACTTGATGCTGTGTACATGTTTGTGTACAAGAAGTCTTATTACAGGTCTGAATCCAGTTTAAGAAGCATACAGCAGACCTGCTAAGAAAAATTCAGCCTAAAGGATGACGCCCAATCATCATACCCCTTTATGCCCTGGACAATGAATCTGCTATATGTGTAGCAAGTGTTAATGCACATACTAGTTAGGATCAAGTGCTTACCATTATGCCATAAGTTATAGCTGATAGCAAAGGAGCAACTTTATTTCTTAACCAAGCCCACCAAGCAAGCTCCATGTTCGATCATGATTCCGACTCGGGCCACCCAAGCCCCCTTGTGGGCCTTGCCATAGGCAGGATGTTAGCGTTACCCAACAACACTGCCATAGACTCCATATGTGTATACGGACACCTTTTGCCGGCAAACTACCCTTAACCTACCTCATCTATAAGCATTTCTGTAAGTTCACCTGCTAGATCACATTGACCACTACTACTACTACATGTACGAAGTAAGGACAACGTCAAATAGGCAAAGAATCTACTGCATTTGTAGAAGGAGCGGATGTAAGCTACGCGTTCAGCCAAACCCAGTAGTTTTGGCTCAGACCTATATGTATTAAAATACGGAAAAGGGCCATATATGCCAGTGAACTATGCGAATTAGGACAAATATGCCCTTCATTAATAGTTTGGCATAGATATGCCCGATCCGTCCAATACTTGCTCGTTTATGCCCTTAGTTTAACGGAACCACTATTCTGTCTTTCTTAAATAATTAAGGGAAAAGGCCTAAAAATGCCACTCAACTTTCAGAAATGGTCTATCCATACCATCCGTTAAAAAAATGCGCATTTCATTCCACTGCCGTTACACATTTGACTCATCCATGCTATTATTGACTAACAGCAGTGGCATGGATGGGCCAAATAAAAATTGAGCCGTTAGTCAATAATGGCATAGATGGGCCAAATGTGTAACGGCAGTGGCATGAAATGAGCATTTTTTTAATGGATGGCATGGATAGACCATTTCTGAAAGTTGAGACCCAATCCATTAAAACCCGACCGAACCTTATTTCAAAGATATTTTTGATATATTATTTTTGTTTGATTGAGAAATTGTGTGATAATCATATTCATTTATTTGAGTAATTTGATAATTGATTTTTTTTATATATACACCATTTCGGGACGTAATCCTACTAAAAGTAGTAATTAATATTTATTTATTATTTTAATAATATAATATTCGAATTAGTTAGTACTTTCTTCGATAATTTTAACATCTATTTTTATTTTTCTCACAATCTATTTGTATTTTTCACCAATACAAATACAAATAACTCCATGTTCACTATAACTTAACTTGATGGATCCATTTTTTTATTTCGATAATCATTATATGATTGATTATTAGTTTATTGGATTATTTTTTCCATTACAAATTTGATATGAAATAATTAATAAATTGTTAAAACAGTGGTGCTTCTTTTCCATTTTTATTTATTAGTTATTTCATAACAAATATTATTTCATAGAAAGCACCATTGTTAAAACAGTGGTGCTTCTTTTCCATTTTTATTAGTTAATTATTTCATAACAAGCACCACCGAGAAAAATAAAAATAGATGGTAAAATGAGCACAAACTAAATAAATATGATTATCACACAATTACTCAATCAGACAAAAATAATATATAGAAAAATATCTTTGAAATAAGGGTGGGTCGGGTCGTAATGGATCGGGTCAGCAAATTTTAGTTGGGTCCGGTTATTAATTATTTAAGAAAGACAGAATAGTGGTTCCGTTAAACTAAGGGCATAAATGAGCAAGTAATGGACGGATTGGGCATATCTGTGCCAACCTATTAACGACGGGCATATCTGTCCTAATTCGCATAGTTCACTGGCATATATGGCCCTTTTCCGATTAAAATATTTACTAAATATGTACAAATATTAAATTTTGAACCCAATAACTCAAATTGCCCTTCCAAGGACGCTTTCTCGAGCCTTTTTCCCTCATCCCTTTTGGTTTGGGGATGACAAGTACTTCATCTCGAGTAGGACACCGGTGATCTCTACATTCACCTATGTAATTTCGAAATCTGCTTTCAAGCTGCTCAGTTTTTCCAGGGAGAGTGGACTAAAAGTGGCATTCCAAACCCATAAAGTTCAAATCCTGGATTCACCACTAGTTTGTTGCTAGAGTGGATTTATTTAACGCCTTCGCGTTGATGTGTCTGTTTAACACACATAATTATATGAATCTATTCTACAAAAGATTATCGCGTGCAGTGATAATTTTCGTGCTACTGACAAAAATTCCTAAATCTTCACAATTACGCAAGTAGCTAATTCATGTTTAAACAAGCATGAAGCAAATAGTCTAATGAAATTTACCGATGAATGGTGTCTTCTGTGCTCTTTCGTCTTTTGCAAAGGAAGGTAGAAAAGCAAGGATTTTTAATTTATTAGGGTTTAACTAAGGTTTATTCGAAGTGAAGGAGAACTTTTGGAGGGTGGAACCCGACCCGAATTCTATAGTTCATGAGCCACTTGACCCGCTTAGTGTTTTTTTTTTTCCAGCAGTTGTTAAAGTTAATTTTGTGGAAGGAATAATTAAAGTTATTTTTGACACTGTTAACGACTTATTACTCCCTCCGTTCCAGTTTACGTGAATCTATTTTTTATTTGGAGAAATTTACACAAAATACCCATTTGGGCCAAAATAATTACCCACTCAAAACTTTTTACATAATATACCCATGCGGTCCAAAATATTTACCCGGTTTTCTACTGACATTCCCCTTTTTCCATTAATTACTCTTTGTCTCTTTGTATTCTCTCTCCCGTCTTTTCATGTATATCCTAACTTTTCCATGCCATTCTCTTTCTCCCATTGATTACTTTCTCCCTTTCCCCCATTTATTACTTTATGTCTTTTTGGTTTTTTTCTTCTCATATTTTTCCTACATTGCGCGCTATTAATCTATTCAACGTATGTGCTTTTGTTTGAAGGCTTCGAGAACGTCTTTGTATTTTTTCCCTGCATTCACAGATCAAGATACTGCCGATCCAAAACTTCTCATTAGTGAGCTCCATGGATAAGTTAACTCTTCAATCACATACATAGGTGGTCCCAAGATGCAATTTTAATGGGTTCACCTTTTAAGGTTTAAAACATTGAACTTATATACTGTTAAAATTATGGGTTCAAATCTAATGCTTGTTCAGATTTTAATAGGTTTTTTCATATAAACTTATACTCTGTGTCGGAAGTTATGGGTTCAGTTGAACTCGTATCCGAAACGCTACATCCGCTCCTAACCACATACTGCTATTAACTAACTCTGAGGATTATTGTTACTAGGACTTCTTATATGATACACAACCTAATGACAAAGAAAAAACAAAATAAAATATTTTTTTTTAAATAAAAGAAAAGAACTAACAAAATGATATGTTGTAATAATATGCAATATTTCAGGTGAAACTTGAATAAAAACATATTTACCCAACAGTATATCACTACGTTATCACATTATACTGTAAGAGTATACAATTATATTACAATAATATACTATAATAGTATACATATATACCGAAATAATATACTATAATAATATGTAACTTTTCAGCAAAAATTTAAATTAAAACATAGGTGCCCAATAATATACTATTATTGTATCACAATATCCTGTAAGAGTATATTTATACTACAACGGTATACTATAATAGTATACATATATATCGAAACATTATATGAGTAGGGTCGCGTAATTATTTTGTATGGGTAGAATCAGAGTAATTATTTTGGTTTTTATGGGTAAACCTGTATATATCCTTTCCAGAAAGTTTGGTTTTTTGGTTTTTGGTCCGTTCCAGAAAGAACGAACCCTCTCTAAATTTGGAAATAATTTAGCTTAAATTCTCAATTCTACCCTTAGTGAGAAGTTTTTATAATCACATAAATACTGTGGATCCCCTTTTAAGTTGTTTAGGACCACAAATTCCAAAAATCTTTATTTCTTTCTTAAATTTGGTGCTAAGTCAAACAGGTTCGCCTAACAGAGGGATTATTTCCTATCGAACCAAAATATTGAAAGAGTATAAACCATTTCATAAGTATAAAAAAGTCAATTTAAACGAGCTTAATAATTGTCTAAATCTATTTTATTATTAAACCAACATATTGGCGCTTAAACCCTAAGCTCTGTCTGTATTCGAAAGGGTTAAAGGTTTTTCCTCGACCAGACGCCTCTCACGCCTTTGCCATCACACTTTGCTTCACTTCTCAATTCAGTGTTGTTTTTTCAATCAAAGTTTACGCCTTTAAGGTACCCATTTGTCGTAAGTGTTTAGTTTTATCTCCCATTACTGAAATCTCCCACCTTCTAATTCCCTTTGCTTCGTTTCTGAAAGTTTTTCAAAGATTCAATCTTTATAATTGTATTTCGCAATCTTAGATAATTGGGCTAAAATTCTAGAGTAGTTGCTTTATGGGAATTTGCTACAGCATAATGTTGTTTCAGATTTGCTACAGCATAGTCTTTATGGGAATTTGCTACAGCAAACCCCGTGAAGTGGGGTTTGGGGAGGGTTGTGTGGATGCAGACTTTACCCGTACCCTGGAAGGGCAGAGAGGTTGTTTTCAGTAGACCATCGCCTAAAGAAAAGATGGAAAAAAAAAAAAACATTGCAATAAGTAGTAACAATAGTAAGATATAGATTCCTGAATATGAAAAGAACAAAAGAAGGAGATTGAATTATTTTGTGTTATTCTAGGTTTGACATTGTTTTTACTTATTGTACTGTATCGTGTTGTTACTGTAGATACAATATTTGTTTTGATTGTTGCTTAAAATTTTATTGTATCGTATTGTTATATCTGTCGTTACGTAACGATGAAATGTTCCATTTTATATAACGTCCCATTTGGTATGGTCGCATTGTTACCCTCATTTTGTCCTTAATATTATTCAATAATCATATTTTACCCTTTACTCTACCCATTTTTATAATAAATATACCTTGTACTCTACTTTTATTTGTAATATTGTAAACTTATTCTTCAAATTGTTGGTGCATGACATTACGAAATGGTGGGGAACAATACAATGTATCCAAATGTTGTATTCATCAAAACAATACAGTACAATACAATATAATACAATACATATTGAAACAATGCGTAACAACCATCCAGACAAGTTGTGAGTGCACATTGGCACATCTATGTGCCTATTTAATTTTTCTGGTCTTCTTATTGCGTGTTTGTCCCTCCCACACTCTTCTCTCTGTCCTTTGCCACCTCTTTGATTCACTTCTCAGTTCAGAGTTCTTTTTCTCAGCCTAAATTTAAGCTTTTGCTGGCAGTGCTGCATCAAGATTTTCAATGATTCAATTGCCTTGATTATGTTTTACAATCTTCGGTAATAAGGCGAAATTTTGTATTAGTTGGTTTTGGAATTGGCTGTATGTTGTTTCATTGATTCCTGAATCTGGAAAGAACTCTTGTGTTTTACTCTAGGTTTGACACTGAGGCTAAATTGGCACGTCTATATGACTGTTTAAACTTTTCAAATTTTCTTTTTGCTAGTATTGTTCTTGTTGGAAAAGGTAAAGTTTGCATTTTGCAATTATTTACTTTGGTGGAAGTATCAATGATCTTATCGTTGATTTACTAAATAAATCCACAAATTTCAACTGCTTTAAGCCTCAAAATCGTGCTATCCCTCCTTTGCACTAACGTGCTCCTCTCCATCTCTTTCCACAATGAGCACCTGTTGTCCCTATCCTTTTTTTCCCAACGATTTTCAATGGCAAAACAAGAGTTGTGCTGAACTGGATTATAATGCTATGTTTGCTCTCATTTCTCTAAAGGAAGTCTCGACGTTGATATGATAACTCCTTCTACATATATAACCCCATTGATATGATATTTCCTTCTGATTCTACAATTAACATCTTTTTTACTTTTTGCTTCCAATGTTATGTAAAAGCTCAAGTTGTGATGGTATACTAGTTTGTGCAGTAAGGATAAAATTTAATCTAATTATGCCTATATGAGTTTCAGTGTTTCACAAAACATAAGCTTGGATAAAAAAGGAGAGTTGCGGCTTGATGAAAAAAGATAAAGGAAGAGAGTTGCTATTGATAGATAACTAGTAAAAATAGTCTCAAGTATGATGAACTCCTCTGAACATGGATATGGAAGCTTCATATATCCAACCCTAACTAGTTTACGAATGGGGGGTAGTTGGTAGATCAATTGATTGATTTAAATAAATAATTGCAAAGAACCTGAGTTGTATATTGGGAGCATTGCTTGCTTGAATCTGCACTTTCTTCCACTTCTATTCTATATGTGATTACTTTGTTTCCTCCAGTTTAAGTTCCTTTGGCACTCTTTCATTCTTTCAAATATTCGTGTACGTGAACCAAAGCTAGAAGCAGTGACTTTGACTAATTGAATATTCGTTGTTGTTTATGCTTTGGTCTTTAAGACATTGGACAGCTCTTATCTCACTTCTTATGATGGTTTCTCCTTTTGTCTTTTTGGTATCCATAAACTTCATTATTTTCGAATTCTGGAAATTTGCAATTATTTTCAAATGATCCTCATTTGTTTAAACAGTCAATGGAACACGGTTCATTTGAAGATCCATCAAAAGCAACATTCTCGTTCACAGATGAGGACCATACACTGGCAAATGCTGTCCGATTTACTCTAAATCAAGAGTTAGTAATTCATCTCTTCCTTTTTCCTTTGTTTTTTCATTATGCAGTAATCACTACTAGTATTATCTCTCTTTGTGTTTTTATTTTCTGGTATAAATAATATTATAGAATTTTGCTTGAAGTTTAATAATACTCCACTGGTAAAATAGATGGCCTCTGTATCTCATTTTGTTACATACCGCTGATCTTTGTTAATCTTGTCCCTTCCCATTTTCTAAACAGTGGTTTTTGCGACAAGCTTAGGACATTGATTAACTGATATCTAATTCTTGCAGTCCCAGAGTAACATTCTGTGGTTACAGCATTCCACATCCCTCTGATGCTCGTGTAAACATAAGAGTTCAGACTACTGGTAAAGCTTAAATATTTCTCAAATGTATCCTTATCAACAGTTTCTCTAACTTGTAAAAAAGAAAAGCGTAAATATTTCTCTAACTTACACTTAACAGTTTTCTATCTTGTAATCCACAGTTTTCTAACTTGTGGATAGTTACCTGGTACCTGTTGCTGGTGGGAGGTGGCAGGTATCCCGTGGAATTTGTCGAGGTGCGCGCAAGCTGGCCCGGACACACGGTTATCAAAAAAAAAACTTAAATATTTCTCTTGTGAGGGGTAATCTTTTAGATGTTATGTCACTTCCCTCATGTTTTGTCACCAGATCTCCTGATGTGTTTTTTTCAAATTTTTTTTTTATTGTCGTATGAGCCTGGCCGACCCAAAGGGCACGGCCAAGTCCAAGATGAGCATGGCAGTCATTTTTTTTCCTCTTCTTATTTATCATTCAAATTGACATCCGTTTTCCATACTAATGTAACATATTTGATATTTGCTCAAATTCTGGTCATAGACTTCTAAATGGCTTGTTCAGGTCCTTCAGGATCATTCTTGTTTATCAATATTCAGTTGGTGTCACTTTTTTGCCAGTTTGTTTTGTTGGATAAATTCCTTGTTATATATTGCTTAACCTATATACATCATATGATACGACCGTCTGGAAATCCATTAAGACAATTTGCTCTTCCACATGTTTATACACTTGCATTCTGAGAAACGTTCGTTATCTGCTTGAGTTTTGGTACATTAAGATTTTCTGCAACTTTTGGTGGTTTATCTGGCAGGGGATCCAGCAAGGGAGGTATTGAATGATTCATGTCAGGATCTAATGCTTATCTGCCAGCACGTTAGAGGCACATTTGATCAGGCTATTTCTAAGTTTAAAGCTGAAAAAGGTCTGAGCCCTATGGATATCAAAAAATGATTTTGACATAAAAGTTCATATAACCTTTTTATCCATGTAAAATTTTGTCACTTTTTGCAAACACAAGGAGACTTTTAAATGTGATTGCTCTATTTATTTCGTGCATATCTGCACAAAAAGTTGCTTTTGCAGAATCATTTTATCCCGTAAAGATGTTACATCAGATTGTTAGCTATAATGCTTATGCTTTTGTTGCGCACAGTCAACTGCCAGTTGAGTAGTCTTCTTATCTATGGCTGTGCAAATATCAGCAAGTTTAGGTTCAGATACATAAAGAATGTACCTTTTTTGTATGGAAATATTAGTCTGCACATCGGTCGCGATGGATTACCACTACAAGCCTATACAGTTTGCTATAAGTAGTAGTTCTTTGTTCTAGTTTATGTGCTTGTGAATAATGGATTTCTTATCAGCTTACTTTCGCGTAAAAGCGTATACAGTTTGCTATAAGGAGAAATGTTTTTTTGTCAAAGATTAGAGCTACATGTATGAACCAGTATGCTATGATGTTCCTTTTTCTATGCCAGAAAAGAACGTGTAAGGAGAAGAATTTTGTGTCTTCGTTTTCCATTTGAGTAGTATGTTCCAGAGCTTTTGAAGTGAGAATTGTGTCCGCTCCAGTTTTGGTTTGTCTAAATATTAGAAAGTAATAGTAATAACCAGGGGGGGCTCAAGCAGATGCGGGGCTAAAGCCAAAATTTAATATGAGGCCTAAATTTTTAAAAGGAAGTTATAAGTTATATTTTATTTGAAATTTATTCTTCTAGCTTTTTGAGATATAAAGTTGTTAATAATCTTTTTTATAATCGATATTTTCTAATAATTCTTTTTCAATTGATACTATAGCAAACTCATTTAGTCTTTCATGAGATATTGTTAATTTTAGATAAGATACTATAGAGCAATAGAAGTATAGAACTATTGGAAGCTTAAAAGTATTGTTGCACACTTAAACTAATAAAATCTTGGAGAAAGAATGTGAGTAAGAATATTAAAGAGAAAGCCAAAAAATATGTAGGGTTTTATGAAATATGAAGAGATTGGGAAAAAGAAAGATTAACTTGAACAGATTAAGAAATGGGGAGTAAAAATTTTATATGTTATCTAATGAAGGAGTAAACAGTAAAAAATTGGAACGTTGGAAAAACTATTCCGCTACCCATTTTTAAGTAAGTCAAATTATTACTTTATTTATATATATAAAAAACTCTACTTTTGTATTAAAAGTACTCAATATTATTTTTTAAATACCTATAAACTATTGTTTTTAAAAAATGGGGCCCCTCAACTTTGGGGGCCTAAGGCATAAGCCTTACCTAATAAACGTTAAAGCCGGCCTTGGTAATAACAATGAGGGAAATCTTATGTAAATGTCCCAAATAAGTCTCAACTTACCAACCTCTAGTCATTAATCATACACTTACCAAAACTAGCCAAACACATAAAAATTGAAAACCCAAATAAATACATACTTTTTTCTCTCCAAGAATCACACACAAAGATCTCTTTCCATATTTTTAAGCGTGATTAGCAACATTAGATTCAAAATGAAAAGGAAAAGGTAGAAAAAAAGGTGATGATATATATATATATATATATATATATATATATATATATATATATATATATATATATATATATTTCATCACCTTTTTTTTTCAATGGGTATGGTTAGAATTCATTGAAAACATATAAATGGGTCAATATACAAAATTTGAGGAAAATTGAAAGTGCTTTGGACTGATTTGGTATCAAAATTCATAGTTAAATCGAGTTCAAAAAAAAATTCTACGACACATGTATCACGCATATATCTCATACATGAATATACATGTGATACACATTTGATACAAATATGATACATAAGTGATACACTTTTTTTTTCATGTTCATCTTCTACTTCGAATTTTCAATTCAAACCAACTCAAAACTCCACTAAATCATTCCAAAATAGGGATTCAAACTCCTTAAGATGTACCCAATCTATTCTAATAACATCCACTCAAAAAAAGCAAAATTTTGACCTTTTTTTGGCTACAAATAACTAAAAAAAAAAAAGGCAGCCCGGTGCATTAAGCTCCCACTATATGTTGGCTAATATTAGTAATATTTATGAATTAATCAATTTTTGTAATGAGCTACTTATATATGGACATAGTAGTTTCCCTTACAATAATACTAAAGTAGTGAAACAAATAAAAAACAAAGCAAACGATTCAGGTCAACGAAGCTTGCGTAGTATCTGAGAGAATTTGGGACCATCCTTTGCTTTGACAAATTAAATTCACATCCAAAGGTATATTTGAAACCATCATTCATATTCTACGTGTTGAAAGTATCAAAAATATTTACAAAGGTCACTTGAAAAATAATTGCAAGTTACTTTAAAAATGGTAATTCGGTGCACAAAACATCCTACTCTAACGCAAGTATTAGTGGTTATTTACACGGTTTGAACTCGTGACTTATAGGTCACACGGAGACAACTTTACTCTTGCTCCAAGTCTCCCCTTCAATTGCAAGTTACTTTAATAAGCATTAATTGGTAACTAAGAATAAATTGTAATCCTTCCGTCTCATATTATCTGTCATGATTCTCTTATACACGCCCCTTAAGAAAATTAATTAGGATGGGATTTTGACTAATTTATCCTTATTCATGTCTTAATATTTAATCTTTTTTGGTATTTGAACAAAGTTATTCATAATTGAGGTGTTTGTAATCTTCAAGGATAATTATTACTAAGGGTAAAAAGGAAAAAGATAATCAATTTTGTCTTTTCTGAAGTGACAAATAATTTGAGACAATCATTTTTAGTAACCACGACTGATAATATGAGACGGAGGGAGTAAATAACTTGCTATAATAGGTAAAAATACATTGATTATGTAAACTTTTTTTTTACATTTATTCGTGTATATACCTTAAATTCTATCTAAAAATCCATTTTCAGCTTGATCATACATGTTAAATTCTTCACTATATGAAGCACAAGCACTAGCTCTCCACATAGCTTGCATTTTTTGTAATGATAGAACTTACATGGGTACGCGCTAACATAATTGGTGATTTTCTTTCCTATCTACCTAAGCCATGGTGGGCATAGTTGCCCGATATCTGTGCTGATGGGAAATAACATGGGACATTTGTATCTATACCCGCTTTTCGGGTCACTTTTTATCTTATAGCTGCTTTGCAAAAAAAATTGCAATCGTACCCACTTTTCGCTTAACTTCAGACATAAGGGCCTGAAGTAGCAAAACTTTATGTCTGAAGTTTGAACTTGAGAATGTTTTGCCTGAAGTGTAGCAAAACTTCAGATATTTTTGCCTGAAGTTTGGCCTGACTGGCAAAGGTAATCATGCAAACTTCAGTTCATAAGCAAGGGCAAACTTCAGTTCAATTGTGTATGTCTGAAGTTTGAACTTCAGAATTTTTTGCCTGAAGTGTAGCCTTATCAAAGCAAAACTTCAGATATTTTTGCCTGAAGTTAGGCCTGACTTGCAAAGGCAATCAGGCAAACTTCAGTTCATAGCAAGGGCAAACTTCAGTATTACAAACTTCAGACACTCGCTCTGAAGTTCGCTTGCAGTATTACAACCTTCAGACATAGCAGTGCATCATTTAAATTGAACTGCTCTCGGCCTCTTCTTAAAAAGAAGAGGAGGAAGAAAGGAACGCATAGGTCAGGAGGAAGAAGAGGAGGCGTCTGAAGTTATTAAAATTAAGGTATAGGTTAAATAATTTTAAAAATATGGGTATAGGTTAAATGGGGACGACCAAATAGGGCGCCCCGTGCAATTTTTACAAATAACATATACCCCGTAGAATAGTCCAAATGAGCCCAAGGTGGCCCGAAGACAAAGAAAAAGTTCAGGTGCTAACAGAGTTGATTGCAACAACCATAGAGCTGGGATTAACATAGCTACAATTCAACTAAGAGCCATGAGATATTTGTACAGAAATTTCAAGGATGATATACAACAGAATGCTAATACTTTATCGTCGTACTTCTATACATATACTTACATAGGTACACTAGCTGGGAAGAACTTTAAATTCATCAAGAGGTTTTGACGAACAAAACTATCTTACATTCTAGCAAAACAATCATCACGGCGAACAATATTTAGAAGCTAATGGTTGAAACCGATATGTTTGCAGCATGCCCTATACCATTACACCTATATTATGCAATAACAACGATCCAGTGAATTCCCACTAGTAGGGTTTGGGGAGGGTAGTGTGTATGCAGACCTTACCCCTACCTCGAGGGGGTGGAGAGACTTTTTCTGATACACCTATATTATGCGAGTCCTTCATTTGTCTTGACACATCCGCGTCCAGAGAGTGTGATAAGGGTGTGGATATCTCATGTGGATTCGTCAAAATGTACTAAAAATTAGCAAAAAACTTGACATACCCATACCGGATACTTCCACGCAACTGTACCAGATACCACACGACCTTTCATACACTAGTGCGACCAAGATAATATCTGAGTATTCCTCTGTCTACACATACCTCTACCGGCTCTACAACACAAATTATCGCGGTGGAGTTGTTAAAGTAGCAAATTAAAAACATTTGCTGCCAGGACAATGATCTTCAATTGCATCTAGGGCAATATATTGAAGTGAAAAAGCCATGAGATGACAAAGGCAAAAACCATGGATGCAAGTAGGAAATTCATGACACGGCGTCCATGCCAGAAGACTCGGGTTTCAGAAAGGCCTACAGGTGCTGCAACAGTGGCAATTGTAGCGTTATTGGCTTCATTTGTCTGCTCTCCAGCAATGTTCAGTGCATTGGCACCACAGATTTCACAAATTCTGAATCATACACATATAAGGAATTAGCATATGAAACACAAATTGAGAAACTATTGTACACACAAGGGCAGATGATTGCATATGAGATCACACATTTTCATATTGGCTCACAAAAGAATTACAGTTTACATCAGATAGGATATAAGCAACTAGAGGAGACTCATAGTAAGAAATCGTCTATATAGTGAAATCCTGCATAAGCAAAGCCAAGAAATTAAGTAGATAAACAGAAGTATATAAATGAAACAATATGTGAGAAGAACTTTCAACAAATTTAAAGGCCCTTAAAAAACTAAGACTGGAAACTTTTCCATTTTTCTGAAGGAAGCATGTGATGATTAATGGTGTGTTCCATAGATAATTCAATCGGCTCCTAGTACAGAATTGCACTCTAATTGATACCCCATGACAACAAAAAGGGCAAAAGAAAGACGACATGAAACGTTAATAATGGTGGACGAGCAAGGAAGAAACTACATGGACATAGAGTCAAACATCAGCAAAATGCATCAATCCGTTCAATATAGGAAGATGGAGGTAGATGTCTGAGCTGATATTCTCTGGTGATGCCTTAAATTATTAGAAAATGACAAAAGTAACAGCTTACATTCAGCTTCCTTCAGTAAATTTTCCAGCACATAGTAGTACTAATCAAGAATTCTGTGTACTGAAGAACCAAATGTTACGAATATAACAACAATTGCTATTGATGCCTGGGTATGCAGAAGAATTCCGAACACAATCTTTCTTGACAGGAGACAGTTAAATAACAAAGATTCGAGAAATTCAGTGCTTCTATCACTATTAGCAGATACCACGAAGAAAACAGAATCTAGGTGCTCAAATAAAGAGAGGATTATACCAGACCACGACCAAACAATTAAATGACCATTCACAAACTTATCCTGAACTGAAACAAACCACGCCAACAAACACCTTGCAGTTTCAGGCTCGTGAACTGCAATGTTATTGGATATCTCTATGGATGCACCATAGGTGGAGGAACAACTGAGAGAGTTAGAAAATGAGAGAGAGGACGGTCGACTTGTGGTTCACGTAGAGTATGTAATAAGAAAAGGGTATCGAGAAAATGGTGCCATGGAAAAAGTACCCTGGAGTCTCTCACATTCACTAAAACATCAGATCTTAGGAGAAATAGATCACAAATTATACTTCACAAGCAGATTATAAGGATTCACTTAAACATAAAAATTATTTCAATCATGCAAGTCTATTAGAAGATTAACCAATCAATCAAATACGCCTCAATCCTACACTAATATTGGGATCGGTTGTCAGTGGCGGACCCAGAATTCTAACAACGGGATCTAAGAAATATTAAAAAACCACATTTGGGTTTTGAACATGTGATCTAAAGAAATTTTTTCGCCACCTTTACCGCTACACAAGAAGCTTCCTTATGTTAATAGGATTCAACAATTTATCTATACACAAAAGAAATATATTTTTACCCTACTTGTGTGGTAAAACTTTCTAAAAAAGGTGAATCAATTGAACCCTGCTCAGGCAAGGTAACTCCGCCCTTCATTGGCTACTCTATATTCGTTCCACTCTATTCTGGTCAATTTTTCACTTATTCAACACTTGCATACAAGTCTGTCTCTAACAAAACAAACACCATGTAATGTAAAAGGGCAGTCCGGTGCACTAAGCTCCCGCTATACGCGGGGTCCGGACCACAAGGGTCTATTGTACGCAGCCTTACCATGCATTTCTAACTTGTCCGGACCACAAGGGTCTATTGTATGCAGCCTTACCATGCATTTCTGTAAGAGACGGTTTCCACGACTCGAACCCGTAACCTCCCGGTCACATGGGAGCAACTTTACAAGTTACACCAAGGCTCCCCTCCTAAATACCATGTAATGCAACCGAAACACAAACTAAAAGTAGAAGCTACAAAATGGGAGGGGGATTGACAATTGAGAGAGAGTTAATGAGTTATAGTACTAACGTGTTTCCTTTGGTTTTGAACCAAGTCTCAGCACACTGTTTATGAGCAGCACCTAAGTCACCTTTGCAACAACATCCCAATTCAATAGCCATCCCTATAGTATGCTCTTGCACTTGATCTCCACCACTACTACTAATGCCACCACTTTTCAACAAACTCAAATGACAAATCCTACAATCCCTCTCTTCTTTATTTTGCAATTTCAACAACTCCAATTCACCACTCTCCAAATCAATCTCCTCATCTGAGAATGACCCTCTTTTTTGCTTGTTGTCTCTCTGTGGCTCACAATTTACCAAAATACCCTCACTTTCACCAGCCATAGAGCCTAAAGGTGAGTGCCAAGACTGGTCAGAGTCTGAATCAGTGAAGTGGAGACTCCCATCAGTAGTTGTTGTCTCACTGCTTGCCGCCATTGATGGCCGCCGGCGACGTCTACGGCGGCGGTGACGGCGGGAACTACCATTCCGGATACTCCCATTTCTCTCTATGTCAGCATTATTAGCTTCAAAAGTTGACATTTTTTAACCCAAAAAAAAATGTCTTTTTGCTCACAGGTTGAGAAAAAAGATGGAGTAGTTTAAGAATTTAAGCAAATTCATCAAAATTCAGGATGAGAAGCGTTAAAAGTTGAAAATTTTCAGTACCCTTTTCCCAAAAAACAGTATTTCATTGAAGAAAGAACTGTTTTTGAGTATTCAAGAAACTCTTTTGCAGCTCAAAGATTGGCAAAAAAAAGATGGATAAGTTTGACGCATTTAGAGAAGAATGGCTGTTTATTAGTATTCAAGAAACTGTTTCTCAGATCACAGGTTGTGGAGAAATGTTGCAATTGAAGAATTTTTAAAGGAGTTGATAAAAGATGATGATGACAAGCGTGAGGGAAAGAAATGAAGATAGTTTATGAGTATGTTGGGTTTTTTAGTGCTTTAACAATTTGCTATCTTTGCTTTCTCAAAGTGGACGAGTAATTGTTGGGGCATTTGTATCTATACCCGTTTTTTGTATCACATTTTAACTTGTGTCCGCTTTGCAAAAAAATTGCAAGCGTACCCGCTTTTTCACATAACTTTAGCCCCGTGGGCTGAAGTTTTTCTTTTGTACTGGAAAACTTCAGCTGAAGTTTTTGTCTTTGTAACCGAAAAACTTAAGCAGTTTTCAGCTTAAGTTTTCCAGTTATAATAAAAACTTAAGCAGTTTCCAGCTTAAGTTTTCTAGTTATACAATAAAAACTTAAGCTCTAGAGCTTAAATTTTCCAGTTATAAAATAGAAACTTAAGCAGTTTCCAGCTTAAGTTTTCCAGTTATAAAATAAAAACTTAAGCAGTTTCCAGCTTAAGTTTTCCAGTTATAAATAAAAACTTAAGCAGTTTCTAGCTTAAGTTTTCCAGTTATAAAATAAAAACTTAAGCAGTTTCCAGCTTAAGTTTTCCAGTTATAAATAAAACTTAAGCAGTTTCTAGCTTAAGTTTTCCAGTTATAAAATAAAAACTTAAGCTCTAGAGCTGAAGTTTTCCAGTTATAAAACAAAAACTTCAGCTCTTTCCAGTTATAAAATAAAAACTTCAGCTCTAGTTTTTCAGTTATAAAATAAAAACTTCAAGTTTTTGTGTTGTAACTGAAGAGCTGAAGTTTTTGTGTTGTAACTAGAAAACTTCAGCTCTAGAGCTGAAGTTTCTATGTTATAAAATAAAAACTTCAGCTCTAGAGCTGAAGTTTGCAAGTTATAAAATAAAAACTTCAGCTAGAGCTGAAGTTTCCTAGTTATAAAATAAAAACTTCAGCTCTAGTTATAAAATAAAAACTAAGTTTTTGTTTAGTAACCCGGAAACTTCAGCTCTAGAGCTGAAGTTTCTCAGTTATATAGGGAAGCTGAAGTTTTTTAAAAAGTGGGTACGGATGCAAACAAAAAGACAAAGCGGCTACAGGTTAAAGAGGGGCGCCCAAATAGGGCGCCCCGTGCAATTTTTACGTAATTGTTAGGGGTGTCAAATGGACGGGTTGGGTTAAATTTGGGCGGGTCAAGATGAGTTAGGTCAATAAATGCGTTATTGCTAACCTCAGCCCAAGTCTATTTGGGCTAAAATGGATTGGATCAAGATGGACTAAACAATGTGTCATAGCCCAACCCGCCCAACTTGACCCAAATTGCCGCCCCCAGTAATTGTGACAAATGGACATGTATTTGAGTGTCAGTTTAGAGAAGATATGAAAATGGAGTAGATACAGTTTCCTTTTTTCTGTGGTGCACAAGGGACAGAATGACAGGGGAGGGACCCCTTCAGTACAAGGGAATTCCAAAAGTGTCTGCTCACTCTTAGGAACATAAATTTCATCTGTTTCTCCATTTTTTCTTAGGCATCGATTAGTACGATGGATAAGTAAAAATAATTCTAAGGTACAAATTTAGTACCGTCTTATTGCTTTTTGATTACTAATTCTGAGATAAGTTATCTCAGCATTAAAAATAGTATCGAGATAACTTATATGTACCAGAGGGTGGAATCGTAATCCCAGAATTAAGATCCCTGAATAAAGCAGTAAAATTGATAATTCCAGAATTAATACAACAGATATCAAACAGTCAATAACTAATCTCAGGATAACTTGTCTTCAAACCAAACGACTTTTAGAGTTTAACTAATATGACGGTTTAAAGAGTTTCACATTATCAAGTCATATTTATCTATTGTAGCATGTAATTTGTAATCTGCCTTATTCTAAAGATTATAAATTTACTTTTTATGGAGAATTATATGTAAACATTATTTGGCTAATCTAATAATGTATATAAGTTAAACTCTTTTTCTTACTAGTATTTTGTTAAGTCATTTGTTAAATTTAATTATTTCCATTTAGGGATGTGATTATATCGATGAAATTTTTCCGCCCTAAACTAAAGGTTTCGAATAAGCTTTGAAAATGAAAAAATTCTGGTAAGAAGCGATTTCATATATGATGTGAATTGCACATTATCAAGTTGTACACTATTTCCTACCTCCTTTTTTGAAATTTATCCTTTTTCTTTTTTCTGTATTCAGTAGATAGTGCATATTCATTCGAACCAATATATTCGATACACATATAGATATATATTAAAAAGATGACTAACATTTCAATGTATATTAGATATGAATTTAAACATAAATAAGTTCAATATCAAAAATCTGAAGATGGAACCTAGATCATTTAACATTCTGAATTCGTCTCTACAAACACTTTTTTAAAATTTATATTTTATTAGAAATATTTACCTCTAAGTTCCCTAAAAGTTTATATTTTATAAGAGACACATATATGATTTCAAACTGGACACTATAACTCGACGAAAGGGGCCTATATGTTACAATGTTAATGGAAAAGGAATTGACAAATTAACGTAATAGTTGTACATCCAACCATTTAAATTAAAAATAATATGCAGATGCGTATATAATTCATGCACCATATATGTGTAATTATGTCTAATCAAGATATCATAAATAATAAATTTGTCTGTTTATTTTTGTTGAGATTCCAAAAGAATTAAGAGAGTCTTAGTACGTAATGAAGGACCACAAGGGAAAAAAGGAAGTGGAGGAATAAAGAGAAAAATATCCACTATTGATAATTTTTCTTTCTTTTTCTTTCTTTCTCTTATTTTGGGCAGGGTTTGAAAGGGAGGGGTGGTTAAAATGCGTACAATTAGGAAGTTGCCTAAGTTTGGACAGATGCTGATAACATCAACACAACTAGTAGTATAAACCATTAGCACTTAATAGGAAAAGATCTACAGAATGCTTGTTAAATCGACTATATTGTATGGGCCAGAGTGTTGGCCAGTCAATAACTTCTGATAAGTATAAATAGTTATTTCTGATATTCCGTGAACGAAAAGATTGCATAATTGATGAAGAGCAGAACTCCTTACTCGAAGAGAACTCTATCCAAGATAAGGAAAGAGTTAGAAGTTGAAGATAACTAGAACTCTTCCACCAAGGAAGAGTAAAGCATCAGGTTTCTAGTTAATCCTAATCCTACTAATTCTATATATATATCAGTTGTGTTCTCTTCTACAGATGACGCACACACACTGAAGTTAAGCAAGAATTGAGAGCAAACTAGCAAGATATTTTTTGAGCAATTCATGTGAGTTTTATGAGTGCGAACCTGAAGCTACATGAACCAGATAGAAGAACCAGTTCCATGTGTCTGTACCAGTCTCATGTGTCTGTCTTTTATTCTAGTTCAATTGTAGTAGGAGCTTTTGAGTTTTACCTTTCAGATTTTCTTAGAAGCATTTGTACTAGGTACTTGAGTTGTATTGTTCAAATCAGAGTTAACTCGAAGCAGTCGCAATAGCTTGTGGCTTGTTGATATAAGGGTTAGAGTTTAATCCTTAGGTTTACAAGAGATTTGTAAATATTGTTGTTTGGCTCAAAGTTGTAGTGAAGTGTTGGCAACAATCCTACTAGGAAGTAGGTCATGGTTTTTTTACTTTTTGGCTGGGTATTTTTCACGTAAAATACTTGTATTCTTTACTTTCTGCATTATTTATTCCACAACATTAGATTAAGGCACGCATAGAAGAACCATGTCTTTCTAAAAATCAGTGCGAAAATTGGACACCGCATAAATCACCCCTCCCCCACTTGTGTGATATTAAAGTATAAAACATCAATGGGTATCAGAGCGAGTTACCTTGAAGAAGCTAACACCTTAGGAAAAGATCAAGATGAGTGCACCACCTGAAAATTGGGAAGGGCAATCCAGTGCTAGGCCACCACTCTTCAATGGCCAGTACTACTCATAACGGAAAACAAGGATGAGATTACATGCAGGCAGAAGATTACGAGCTATGGGATATAATCACTTATAAACATGCTGAAGGTGAGGATGTTCCAGAGACAAGAGCTGACTGCAATGCTGCGGACTTGAAGAAATGGGAGAAAAATGCTAAAGCCAAGAAATGGCTTATATGTGAAATTGGTCAACAATTCAACAAGCTCTTTCGACTACTTAGGATAATCACTGAATTAAACCAAACAAAGTAATGCAAAAATAATCACCAACGTATTCCTCTTTCGATTAAATAAACCAGTGAATAAAGTTGCAACAATTCAAAGCTCCATAACGAATTCAAGCAATAAACTTGAGTTAGAATTCACAAATATTTATTAAAATACCATATCCGTCAAATCCTAAGTGAAACTACTCTATAATCATGGAAGAAGTCATCACAAATATAATTGAAGAGTAAGAAAGCATCAATCTAATGTTACAATCCAAACTCCCGTATTGAATTGATGGAGAGATGATGAAATCCTATGTCTTGTAGCCTCCAATACTCTCCCCAAAGCTTCCAAGGTCAAAAGTCCCTTCAAAAATATTTTTTTGGTGGTATATTTATACCATGTAGGAATGGACCCAGACGAAACTACCATTTCGAAGCCGAAACAAGAAAATTACTCTAAGAATTTTGTACACGCGTGTCGCACCATGCGCCACCCCATGCAGGGTGCTAGTGGGGAAGTTCAGAGAGCGGAATCTGACAAGCAGTAGGAAAATTACACTGCCACGCCACCCCATGCACCGCTCCATGCGGCGCGGCGATGTGTTTTTTACATAGTATTTTTGTTTCTTCGATTTTTAAATCCAGATGCGGTCTTCGACACCCGAACGCGATCTCGGTTTAATTTCTTGGGCTTTTACTCAGACTTAAAAGCTCCACATTATTCGATTTAGTTCCAAATTATCTTTTTAACCTGGAATCACTTCCTGCAAGGCATTAAACACACAATAAGTGCAATCACTATCATTTAAACTCAAACACAAGTAAAATACAATAATTGAAGCGCAAACTGCGACTAAAACATGGGATTCTAGCCTACCACCAACATCCCACATTTAAACCATTGCTTGTCCTCGAGCAATCAAATTGCACTTCACATAGAGATGACCTTCTTATCAGATAACTTCCCTAACTCATC